CTTAAATGAGACGCCTCTGAGATATTTTGTTTTTTCTCTTGGAAGAAAATATTTAATGGAAGATTTGAATGGAACTATGTTTTCTTAAATTTACTCTAAATTGGAATCACTCATTCGAAATTAATATAGCGCAGTAGACAAACCGTCTAGTATTAACATTGTCATAACATAACTATTAGAATATGATAAAATATATATGAATGAAGGATTGAACTGATGCATAAGTTATAAATCACTAAAAGGCTCTAAGAAGTAAGCACTTGTGAAGCTGAGAAAATAGTATAATAATAAATAACGTAAAGTTACATTCTTTGTTACAGTTTAAAATAAATATTTTTATTTCTTGAAAAGCCAGTGGTTCTTTAAACATGTAAACTATTTATGCAGGAAATATAAAAAATTACTCCAGTCCGCGACTCTTGCGAATACCAAAGCAAGAATACGAAGCATATGCTTTATTTCTTGACTTATAAAGCACTTTTGAAGTAAATATTTTGGAAATGTATGTGTGTTGTCCATGCACCATTAAATACCCCTGTAATCAAAACAATCTTACGTGATATTATCTCACAGACGCTAACAATGTTTGCAGAAAACATATATTTAGTCCTTGGATAATCTGAAGGAATAACAAAACAAAACAAAAAAATCTAAATATATTTTAACAGAATTTACACAAGTAAAGAGTTAAAAAAAAAGTATTTCTCCATTTAACACGCATTCCATTGCAATCTTTTATATCATAGCCTGTTTTAAACATCTTCTCAGCAAATGTCTCCAAGTAATACCCTCATATAACTTAATGTAGGTTCAACTCCAGTATCCAAAAAATTGCGTTTAATACTTTCATCTTTAGGTATCCAATTACAGCCTCTTCATCTATTTCCAGAATCCAAACATTTGTCAAATTCTGTATCCAAAGGACTTATCAGAAGGCTCATTTCTTCCCTTCGTGCATGTATCCAAATGGACCATCATAGTACCTCTTATTTTTGATTTCATATTTCATACTGTTACGAATTTTGTACTTAATTATAAGTAAAATTGTTGTATTTCTTTCGTAACATGAAAAATCTAAAGAGAAGCTATGCTGGAAAGGCAAGAATAGAGGGGCAAGTGCATTTAACATTGAATAAATGGGCATCTTGGTAACTTGACGACGTATCGCCAAGCTGACAAATTTTGCGAGGAATCGCAAAAATCACCAAATTTTGCAACTTGGCAACAATTTGGTCCTGTCTCTCTATCACCGTAATATGTACTGAAATTGAGTAAATGGAATTGACTACTATGTTAGCTGTAACCGTAATTCCAGCCTCGTATTGTTTTCCAGTACTTTCGAAAAGCAGAGAGTACTAGAAATATTTCGGTGGCCGGTTGAAAACTATTTAAAGCTGAAGAGAGACCATCTGCTCTCAGTTGCTTAATTATTGTGGTTGCAAAGTAGTTCCGCGTGAACTGCGATAATGCGAGTTAGCTTGAGCTTTGCGTTGTGCTGTGTTTAACGTTCTTAGTTTGATATGCAACTACTGATTGTAGTGATACTATAAACTCCTGCATGAGTATTTCTGCGTAAAATTCCAGAACTTTGAAGTGTTTATTTTGATAAAATAAATGTTATTAACCTATCATCGGATCTGCGTGCAGTCAGTCAATTACGAACCCGTACGTACGCAACAATACTAATCCGAAGACTCTGCACTAGTTGATAGCGCCAGCTAGAAGGCATAGTATTTATGTAAGACAAACACCAACTGTGTGATTTTGAATTTTATATTAAATTACTTGTTGACTTTCTTTCAAACGCAAAAGTAATAATAATGTGCACAATATGTATTATAATATTAATGCACATAGAGAATTAGTAAAAAAGTGAATAGCATGTGCACTCCTAAGGCGTTTATGTTTTAGACGTGAAGATAATGCAATGTAAATGTATCATAAGGTAAATGCAATATAAATGTAAATAGCACCATTTAATGAACATAATAAGTAAATGCATACGAAAGCTGTGTATATGTTACAAAAGTCTTAATTATGAAAGTAACATAATTTCAATGTAACACAAATGTAATATAAATGCAAACAACACCAAGTAATGAAATTGTGAAGGTGGTGCACATAGAGCACCAGTAAACAATGTGCATAGCATGTACCCTCTTTAAGTTTTTATGTTCTAGATGTGGAGATAATGCAAAGTAAATGTATCATAAGATAAATGCAATGTAAATGTAAGTAACACCACTTAATGAGCTGAATAAGTAAATGCCTATGAAAGCTGTGTATGTGTAATAAATGTCTTAATTATGAAAGTAACATAATTTCAATGTAATGCAAATGTAATATTAATGTAAACAACACCATGTAATGATTCTGTAAAGGTGGTGCACATAGACAATCAGAAAACAATGTGCATAGCATGCGTCCTCTATAGGTTTTTTTTTTTTTTTAAGACGTGAAGGTAATGCAATGTAAATGTATCATAAGGCAAATGCAATATAAATGTAAATAGCACCATTTAATGAACTTAATAAGTAAATGCATACGAAAGCAGTGTATATGTTTTGTAAATGTCTGTTAAATGTCTTAATTATGAAAGCCACATAATTTCAATGTAATGCAAATGCAATATTAATGGAAACGACACAAGTAAGGAATCTGTAAAGGTGGTGCACATAGGCAATCAGTAAACAATGTGCATAGCATGTACCCTCTATGAGAGTTTATTTTTAGACATGAATGTAATGTAATGTAAATGTATCGTAAGGTAAATGCAGTATAAATGTAAATAGCACCATTTAATGAACATAATAAGTAAATGCATACGAAAGCAGTGTGTATGATATAAATATCTTAATTTTGTATATAATGTATGTAAAATGTAAACAAATGTACTTAAATTTTCAATGTAATCTGTGTTCACAAACTCTGTAAAATGTGCATCCAAATGTATAATTATGCCCTTGTTTGGCCCTGTATTGCAACTAATTATTCTGCCCAAACTCTAGATATAGGTGGACGTGGCGCTATACCAATTAACCAATTGGCAAAGGGATGGTGCCCACGTCCTCCGTCGCATGTCGCATATTCATGTGCAAATCTTAAGGCAAATGAAGATTAATAAAACAATAGTTTAATTTTAAATTGTTATGAAAAATACTGAAATATTTCGCACCAGTTGTCTCTCTCAATGCGTGAGTCAAAGGGTGCAATCCTTGTTCTAATGCTTTTTCTGACATTTGAATATATTGATTGTTAGAATAACTACCGTCACAATACTGTTATACTATTACAGTTTCACTAACCAAAGAGAACTGAGAGTTGCAACTTTGAAGAAGCTTAACACGAAGCTTAAAATGGTGGGATGTTTAAGATATCTTAAGAAAACTTAAGAATTATCCGTCTATAGTAATTCAATATCTTTAATTATTATTAATCAAAGTCCACCAAAATAAAGCCTGACTAATTGCATTTAAAGTAATATCTCCCTTAAATAAGTTAAATTAATTAGAGAAATTAATTGTATTTTGAGAAGCAGTATTCTATTCACACATGCAAATATTCTATTAATGCAAACAATATTCTATTGCCTTGTCTGTGACTGGGTGTACCCGTCTTCAGGTAATGAAATCGATATTTTTTGCTAAATCTTAAATATTCACATTCGCATCTGACAAATAAAATGTCTGTCGCTTCGTGTGTTTCTTTCAACATATTTTGTCTATGAATACATAATCTGTAAATATAAAAGGTTTATAAGCATTCTATTTTTCTGTGATAAAGACTGAAATCGATCTGTCTCAGTATTAAGGCTTCCAGAAGGAATGTTAAAGTGAGAACCCAAAACGCCTCTGTCGTTGCTAAAAGAATAGTGAATAATTCACGATCTTCTGAAAAAGCTACACGACCTAGCTCTTGTAGGTAGTTGATTTTCCAAAAGCAAGAAAAATACCGGATTTCTGATATCGATATATTTGCCACTCGCCTTTTTCTGCAATTGCACTTTGAAGACGCTGCTACAGTTTCTATGTGATGCATATCTAGATAAAATATTTAAAGAAAGTTAATTTTTTTTGTCCGTTTCATTCTCCACTTGTGATAAGTAATATTAAATGTTTAAAATGTAATGCTTAATATTTCATTAACTGAATGTACTCAAACTAGAAGGCGAATGCTTTCGTAATTAATATGAAGCCTAAGTGTAAAAGTAGTTAACAAAATAATTAGTCCAAATAAAATACTTGTTGTGTAATTTGCACTTTTTATTAGAGTTTCAAACAAATTATGATTTTTATATGATTCATGGTATTATATCAGATTATATGATACTATTGAAATTACCAAATTTTCAGAAATTACAGAACTATTTCTGTAAAAGTTTAGATATTTTCCAATAAGCTGTCCAGTAAAAGTGCAATTAATATTATAATAAAATTTCACTGATTCAGGTATTTGGAAAGCAGCAATATAGAATTTATCGCAGAATTGAGTTATTTTACTTGAAAATGACTTTCCCTGGAGACTATGCTCCAATGTTTTTAAATCCTATGTTTCTGCCATATTTAATTAGTTATTATCGATTTTAATACGCTTAAAATAGCTGATCAATTAATTACTTTAATAGAAATCTAAATGAAAAAGAACGCTTTTCAACTATGAACTTTTAATTTAGCAAGTATCCGAAAAGCTGCGAAACTTAAAATTATACAATCTCATTAAGGCAGTGGAGACTATGGCTGGGAAAAATACTGATCACTTTCACTTGGAAATGTGCAAACATACAGTTTCATTTTGGTGTTACATTACATACTTTGTGAATCTATAAGAATCTGTATATTAAATCTACTGCTATGACTTCAATTCCTTTATTTTATTTGAAAATTAAAGTAAAAAATTACAGCATTTATTTGGCTTTAATTTTTAATCCAGTAATGAGATCTATTTACATTTTGTACGACATGATTAATACGAGTCTGAAATATTTCTGTTCTGCTTTTCAGAATCTAAAGAACCAGATTATGACAACAAATGTGTGGGTGGAACAGGTAACATTCTTTCATTTTTTAATAAAATTTTTATGTACTAAGTCAATAATGAAAAATGTTTCGCATTAAATTTAACCCATTTTAATACCTTTTATATCTCAATTAATAAAGGTATGATCGTTTTGGAATAAAACATGTAGTGTATCGAATCCTAACTATTTATGCATACATATTTCATATAAGTTTTATGAAGTTCATGGTTCATAGCCTGACATAAAAAAATTAAAACTTTATTTTAGAAACTTTATTTTATAAAACAATTTCACTTTATTTTAGAAATGACGATTATGTTTCGTAGTTTATAAAACTTGCATGAGAAAAAAAAATATTTTAAACTTTCTGAACGTATTTTGCCAGTTTTATTTCTAAATCTTTTTACATACACTTTTGAGCAAAATATTTGACTTCAATGTTTTCATCTGCTTTATTATAATTTTGAAATATATTAATGTTTTAAAGAAGAATTTCGAAACATTTAAATTAATGCTAAAAGTTCCTGTAGCATTATATTTTTCCCACCTGATTTTAAAATTACTGATAACGTAGCCTAAAAAAAGCTTTAAATTTTAAATGAGCAAAAATCTGTCTATGTTCAGCAATTACTACACATGCCCTTCCTTAAAGAACTCAAAGCTATTTTTTTTCTAACATTTTGGTTGAAAATCTGTTTCGGGATGTTGTTTGATATTAGATATTTTTTCCCCGATCTGAATATAAATGCAAAATGTAAATTCGCGTGAAATTGAAATTCTACATATTTTTAGCTTCAAAGAATCGCGGAAAAATTTCAGATCAATCACAAAATATCCAAATTAAAAATAATAAGGCGTGCCTGGGCGTAAGGAAAAAAAAATGCTTTATAATCTCATTCTCTCTTTATATTTTATGTGATTAATAAAAATGATTAAAACATGAAAAATAAAAATATGAATATCGTATTTTATAAAAGACACATAGCTACAATAGGCATAATAACAGGAGAATGAAATAGTTCTTGATAAGAAGACGCTTAAATGATACAGTAAAGCACAGTGTATATGTCTTTCAGAAATTGCCTAGAAAAAAACCTCTCAGTCGAAATTTCAGTTTAAGATTTCAGCCTTACATTTTAGCTTTTGTATTTTAATACTCTCACTTTGCTATTAGAGTTCTCTGTTTATTTCAGTCTACTGTTTTAATTTTTTTAACACTGAAAATTTAAAACGTTAAAAATATCTCCTTTCTAAAATCATTCAATTTGAAATTTATATGATTTAGTATTGAACGTAAGAACAGAATGATCATATTTTTATTTGAATTGTCCATTTTGAATAAATACAATTTTTCCGCAGACGATGCGGAAACAGACAATCTCTACATATAATAGGCTCACCAGCGGCCGAGCGGTAATGTCGCTGAACACTGGTAGTTCGGTCCGAGGTTCGAATCCCGCGAACGGGCTGGCTGCATGGGCGTTTTCGTGGTTTTCCCCATGTGTAACGTGTATACGAGCCAGTTTCCCTTAAAAAGTCCTCCACGAAAGGCATTCCTCCCCTTAGGCAGATAGCCCTAGTGTGCTCTGCCATAATTAAATACACCAACCAACACCAACACCAACTCTACATATAATAAAAGAAAGAGTCTGTCTGTGTGTGTGTGTTCGTTCGCGCTGCGCGTAAGCTAATAGACACACGGCTATGAAATGTGCTACATAGGTGCATCTAGACGAGAGCCAGTGCACCTCGAAGCGATTTTTTTCGAAATTCGAATTCGAATTTTTTTATTTTATGTTTTCTGATGAAATCGTGTCGTTTTGAGATATAATGGGCTATAGGAAAGCGAAATTTTACTCTACACACTCCATTTTCACATCGTCATGAAACGTAGGCACTTAGCTATTTTACGAACTTAGAATAAATTTCGTGTTTTAATAAATCGATTAAAATTCGAATTTATTTAACAAAGGGAGTTTAACACCTTTTCAAAGGGATTTTTTCTAAAAAATTTCAGTTTTAAAAATGTACAGTTTATTTTTTCTTTGGTTTTTGGACACGTTAAACTTTCATCCTTGCGACTGCTTTTACAAAAATAATTTTAGAAAAATGATAATATTTTGTATTTTAAAAACAAGTTTTTAAATGAAGTTTCCGTGTATACTTCTCACATCTCACATCTTTAAAAATGTGATTTTGGCAACAATTTTCCTGTCTTATTATTGTTGATAGATTTTTGATGAAATCGCATCATTTTGAATAGTTTCATTCTTTTACAAATATGGGTTGGCAACAATTTTTCATCGTATTTTTTATGCTACTGTTTTTAAGAGATTGGCATATTTCATTGTCCTTTTTACTTCCTTGTAGGAAGTATTGTAATCGCGAAAGTTTCAGGCAGCATATTTCAACGAAAATATCCTATTTTGGCCTCTTTCAAATGCAATTTAACGATGTATTTCCGTGATATCTGTATGTAAGGACAGAATAAAACACTCTTTTCCTCCAAAAAAATTATAAAACTGCTTTCAAATGAATTCTGAAGAGAATGTTTCGTGGCGTTTGTACGAACGTATGTACGTACGTGCATACGTTCGTACAGACTGCATAACTCAAAAACGAGTAGCCTCAGAACGCTGAAATTTTATATATAAGACTGCTATAACATGTAGATGTGCAACTCGTATTTTGGTTGCAATCGGCCGCACCAAACGTATATAAATATATTTATATATATATCCACTCTCTAACCCGGCTCAGTGATCTCAGTTTCTTTACTCTTATATGTTTGTAAATTGTACATTTTTTGCTTTAAAAATGATTGAATTATGTTGTTCTTATCTTCCGGTTAAGGTTATGCCTTTAGTAAATCTGTATGCAATACTTTTAGAATTATCAACAATTTTAAAGTTGTTTAAGTGCCGCTAAGCCTAATAATTGTTTTGATAGCGGCAATTGCTTGTTTACATTTGAAACAGCAGAGTAGTGGATTTGTTGCCAATCTAGAGAAACGTAGCTTCGCAACAACAAAGATAACGCCTTCATTTATTATTGCCAATTAAATCATGCTTAATCGTATCTGGACAGTTTTCGAGGAAATAAGTGTTTAAGATTTACTTCATAATTTTTAATACAGATATTTTGAGATTTTATGTATTTTTGCCTTTCGTCGCGAAGTGGAAACTGAATTAACTGAATGAGAAATACTCAATCGTCTGTGAAAAACTGTTTCTTTTTTGTTTTGTTTGCTTAATTTCTTTTATACATAGTTCTAGCTTTATTATAGTATTTGAATAGAACATGTGGCAACGATTAGATAATTCTTTAAATGATATACATTTTTTGCATTCTGAGTTATAATATGAACGAAATATAATACTGTTATGTAAACCTAGTGCCAGAGTGTCGCTATGGTAAACAAAGTGAATTTTAAAGAATGCATTTATTCTATTGTTGTTTATGCGCTGTCGGCGAAGTAGATTTAATTCAATCTAATAAGTTTAAATGAAATGCAAGAAAAAATGAGTATAATTTAATATTCCTTACAAGGAAGTCATGTGGTGTACACATCAGATATTAATATATATATAATACATTTTTATTGATTTTTTTTTTTTTGATAAAATTGTTCTGCAGAGTAAAATTCTGCGCGGAATTTTATGTTTTTTGAGTTTCTTTTATGTTATTTTTGGCTTATTTTACTATTTGTAAGATGTTGAAAAGTTTTGCATGATTTTTTTTTTCTTCAACGGAAAGTTGGTTAACTTTTTATTAGGATAATTAATATTTGTATTAAGGGATATAGCTTATTTCATTGTAATTTTTTTCTCTTGAAAATATAAGATAAAATATCATTAATTATACTTTGCTTTTCAGATTTTTTTTGTTTTTTTTTGTTTTTGTTTTTTGTATTCTTTTATGTTATTTATTGCTCATTTCACTGTTTTTAAGATATTGAAAAGTTTTGAGTGATGTTTTTAGGAAACAAAGTTCTTAACCTCTTTATACCATTTGAGTTCTTAAGATTTTGCAAAGGGACGCTGGTTAATTTATTTATTAGGATAATTAATATTTGTATTAAAGGATATTGCTTATTTCATTGTAATTTGTTATACGTAATAACTTGTTTTTTATGAAGTTGTTCTGCAGAGTAAAATTCTATGCAGTTTTTAAATTTAACGTTTGGTGTTCCCTTCAGCCATTTTTCTGGTACATTTGAAAACGAGAAGAAGGCTGGCAGCGAAGCTGCTAGTTTATTTATAAAACTTCTTTCTCGGCTATCTGGCATGTTATTTGATTCTGATGCTTAAACAAGATACTGCACCAATATATAATTAAGTTCTCAGAAACAGTTTTTACCTAGTATGATAACAAAGAAATTTCTAAATTAATGAAAACATCGCAGTGCGTCTTGAAAAGAGAATTGAAGTAATCCTTCAATTATCCCCGCTATTTAAATGCTAATCCATAAATCTGTATCCCGTAAATTCTCTAGATATGCATAACGTTAACGAATTATTACAAAAGACTATATACGAAAGTAATGTTTGTTTCACAGAGATTCTTCTCCTTTTCCCCTATCATCAGAGTATTATCATCCTTTTCGCAGTCAATTTTAAACAATTGTACGATTTAAAATTTGAAAAAACACCTTTTATGAAAGAATTTATAATATTTCTGGTTTTATTCTAACCCAAGCAAGATATATCATCTTTAATAGCCTCAATAACTTTAAATTTTCCATTTGTGTTTTTTGGAATAAGAATATGAACGGTGATTTGAATTGCTATGAGTAGTACCTTGCGTAGTCCGGCTTGTTATATGTACACTCGGATTATTCTTTTTTGATTTTTGGTAACTATTTCTGGATGATTCACTGTAAACCGCTTTGAATGTTTCAAAACAAACTAAATTTGTGCAATAACAAAAATTCTAAAAAATTAGAACAGATATTTTTTTTTCATTTATAAATGATCCTTTTCCCTCTATATACATTCAAATATCTTTTCGTGCTGTTTATTTTTATGT